TCACTCAGTGGAAATTTGTAGCTATTAATAATAAATTGTAATGTCTGAAGTTGGTGTAGGAACATACCAACCACTTTTTATTTCCTACTGGGCCTTTCTTTTTTTTTTTTTTTTTTTTTTTTTTTTTTTAGAATAAGTTTCAGGTAAGGTAAACACGGTTTGTATCTGCTCTTCTACCTTACCACTATACCTCAGTATCATCCATCATTTATATTTATTTAAGCACCTACTGTATTAGGCACTTGAAATAATTGTGTTCATGTGTTACTAATGAATGTATTGAGTTTATGTAACATGAAGAACATTTTTAAAAATATGAAGTCAGCAATTCTTACATTATTCTGGTAGTATGTACTGAGATATGCTATAATATTTTTATTCTCTTACACAACAATACTGACCTCTAGAGATAAAGCATTGTAAATTCACTTCTTAGTAAAACTGGTTTTGGGAATATTTATAAAAAGGAGGATTTTTTTGTGTTTTTCTCTTTTTTTTAAACTTTTATGAATAATTTCAACAAACATAAAATTATAATGAATGCTTATATACCCCTTCATCCTGATTTAACAATCGATAACAGTTTTACATATTTGCTTTCCTATTTTTTAGCCTGTGTACCTTAAAGAAAATTATAAGGATCATAATAAACATTTTACCCTTATACTTCAGTATGCATCTCTAACAAGTTAGGAGATTTCCTGCAAAAGGACAGTATATTAATATAATAAAATTAACAATTATTTCCTAATGTCGTCAAATATTTACATTTCCCCAATTGCTGCTAAAGTGGATTTTACAGCTGGTTAGTTCAAACCAAGATCCAGTCAACCAACAAGCATTTATTTTGGTTGATAGGTTGTTAAGTTAAGGTTTCTTAATCTAGAGCAACCCCTAGGCCCCCCTTATGCCCCCCATGACATTGATGTTGGGAAGCTTAAGTCATTTCTCCTTTAGAATAGTCCGTCTTTTGGACTTGTCTGATTGTTTCCACAGGGTATCATTTAACTTCTTTATTTTTATATCCTCTTATAAAGTGCAGATTAGATCTGAATCCTTGATAGGATTGAGGTTAAGCATTTTTGTCATTAATACATTGTAGGTATTTTTCACGTACTTCCTACTGCATCATATTACATAATATTTGTCTTACCATTAATGATGCTCAGATGTTTAAAGCGTTCGTGACCTGATCTCTTAGTTACAAAATTTTTATTTTTTTTGCTACTAGCAGGTAAATCTGGAGAGAGATTTTGACATCATTTGAGATCCAGTTTTGTTAAACCTTTTGCATAATCGTTTTAAGATCTCTTAAAGATGTTATAAAATGGGATTTTCTATTTCTGTTGTTTCTACATATATTAGCTTGAATTCTTCTATAGAGAACTTTCTGTATTAATTGGAATTAATTTGTTTATCCTGAAATATTTCTTCTAGAAAAGCAGGATAAATGTTTAATTATTTACTTTATTTACCAATTTTCAGAGTAAGGAGTTAAAGTACAGAACCCTTCCAGCAGGAACATGTTTTTCCAGGAAGGAACAGGCTCGCTCTCTGTAAAATATTCTTATGATCTTAATGAATTGTATATGTTCAGTGTGGTTCAAACAACTACTGTTATTATTTTTAAGTTAAATTTGTTCTTTTTGTTGCTTTTACTAATGCCTTTATTTATCCTTTTTTCTTTACATACTCATGTAGTCCTTTTCTTTAGACATTGTCTCATTGTCTCTTGGTTCACTACTATAAGTGGCGATGAAATTAGCATATTTTAGCCTTGACCATCATTTCATTTTAGACAGTTACATTTTTTTGATGTTTACTTTTCGACTCTGCTGTTCAGCTTGTCAGAGTTAAATGGTGTCGTTAAACTTTGATCAGCCAACTATGAGATAACCATTTATACACCTTTATTCTTTTACCTTATTCCCATCTTTGGTTTCCTCTTAAATCCACAGTTAAATTTGTTCAATGGTAACCAACAATGCATTTGCTAAGAGTTTCTCAGTCACCCCTTGGTTTGATAAAGCTTGTCTTCTAATAGATTACCTTAGAAGAGCTAACTCATGATATGATCTTCCCTGAGTACACGCTAACAACTTTGTCTATAGTCTTGATACTTAAAAGACTGCTTGGCTAGTTATTACAGTCTTTGGTTCACTCTGTATTAGTTTTCTTGGGCTGTTACAACAAACTTGAAACAACAGAAAATTATTCTCTCAAAGTTTTGGAGGCCAGAAGTCTGGTATCAAGGAGTCAGTAGGACCATGCTTTCTCTGCAGGCTTGGAGGAAGTTTTCTCTTGCAGCTTCTGGTGGCTCCAGACATTGTTGACATTCCTTAGTCAATAGATGCGTCACTCCAATCTCTGCCTGTCTTCACATGACAGTCTCCTTTATGTCTCCTCTGCTTATAAGGACACCAGTCATTAGATTTAGGGCCCACCTTACTCCATGATGACCTCAGCTGAACTAATTACATTTGCAAAGATCCTATTTCCAAATGAGTTCACAATCTGAAAGTTCGAAGTGGACAGGAAGTTTGGTAGGACACTGTTCAACTCACTAAACTTTAATGAGATAACTGTGATGTCTTTTAGAATTGGCCTTCTGGGCAGATTTCCCAGGTACTCGGTATGTCTCTCAGGGTAGATATTTAGATCCTCTCCTAAATTTTTTATTTTTTTAGAGACAAGATCTCACTCTGTTGCCCAGACTGGAGTGCAGTGGCATGATCATAGCTCACTGCAGCCTCGAACTCTTGGGCTTAACAAGTGATCCTCCTACCTTGGCCTCCCAGAGTGCAAGGATTATAGGCACAAGCCACTGAGCCCAGACTAAGGTTCTCTTTTGTTTTTTAGGGACATTTTCTTGAATTGTAATTTTAAAGATTAGCTCCATCCCATTAATTTTTCTTTTTCAGGGATTCCTTATATATGTATGTTGACTCTTTTTTGGTTTTTTTATCTATCACTTTCTCTGTAGTCCCTTTTATCTGTTTACTTGTTTCATTTTCCTTTTTGCTTTTCTCATTGCTTGCCATATTTTGAACAAGTCTGTTGCCCTTTGTCCTGTGATTTAGTGCTAAGCCTGCAGTGATTTTGTTCTTTTTTTTTTTTTCAGTTTCTTTTCTGTGTTATGTGAGCGCCCATTTCACGTCTTGTTGTTTGCCCATCTTTTCTGAGTTGTTGATCTTTTGTTTCATGGCATTTATTCAGTATATTGTTGTTTATTATTTTTAATCATGTTAGAATATTGGTTTATGGTTTTTCTCTGCATTGTGGAAATCTGAGTATCCTGAAATGTTTTAATCTGTGTTCTCTCTGTTTTCTTTTTATATTTTTCAGTGCACATTGCAGTTTTATACTTCTTATTCCTGTTTGGGCCAGCTGTTGTGGGATTAATGGAAGGTTGGTGGCAGGAAGGGAGTTTGGATGATTCTCAGTTCAGGAGGTTTCATTTCTGTTAGTGTGGGAAAGGCTTTATCTTCATTATCAGTATGGTTTTGGGGTTTCAGAGCTCTTCTTTCTTGTTTGATCTGACTTTGTTTCAATAAAGCCCCTATCTTAAATCTCTTCCTTCTCTTCAGCTCTAGTTGCTACCTTCCAAATCCCAAAAATTGTCTTACGTCATCACCCCCTCCCTTGCCACCACGAGGGTGTTCTCAAGACTACAGTTCTGGTCCTATATCTTCTCCAAGGTGCTTCTTGATGCTTTGTTGCCAAGTTTCAGGACTTTTTCAGTACTTCCCATTTTAGATGGACCCTCTTCCTTCTGGGGAGAAATCCTGGCTGCTATTATCTGAGTCCTACAGCCACTGAGAGTTATCTGACCTCTTAGCACCTCTGTGAAGCTCTTGCTATAATCCCCATACTAGGGTCAGCTCCAGCGCTTATCCTGCTGATCTTCAGTGTTTACCCCTTACTTTCTCATACGTCTGTGTTGATAGCTCTCTTCTGTCTCCTACTTACTCTGTAGGTACAGAGCATGGGTATTTCTGTCTGTTGTTCTTGTTGCTGTGTATAGGTTTTAGAAGGAGGTATGAGAAGAGTCCAGGAGACTGCCATCATTCTTGGGGAACTCAGAAACCCAAACTCAGCTAATGTTTTTGATTTTTTTTTCTGCAGCCAGAAATAAGCTGGTGATGCAGCTGGTTTCATTACTAGCCATGGTGGACTATATCTTGCCCTGTAGTGAGTGACTGCTAAAACAACAATCTAATTGGGATAATTCTGAGTAAGTTTGTTCTCTTGTATAGTTTTATAGTCAGTGAAGAAAACTTCCAAACCAAGAAAATCATCTGAAGCCATCTCTGGCATCCCCTTCCCTTTTAAAAATTCTATTCTATTTTTGAAATCTAAGGCTTTTTCTTTAATACTCTCTGATAAGGCTGATATGTAAACCTAACTCACCTCTTTCAACTATTTTCTGTTTATGAAGTCACTTAGGAGATTGAGCTAATATGCAAATAATTGAAACCATGAGTATATAGAAGTGGAGGCAGTATAGGAGAAAATGCATTTTAAAACTGGAGTTAGGGAAGTTAGTCGTGCTTGTGTTGCAGGTTGGGTTCTCCAGGAATCAGACTTGGAGCTGGAGATTAGCTTCAGGATGTTTATTAGGGAGTGCTCTTGGGATCACAATTGTGAAAGGGAGGGAAGGAAGTGGGATAGATGCAGGGAGAAGTGGAGTTGCAGTGTCATGCCAGTGGAGCATGGGAATCCTTAAGCTAAATATTTTATAGTTGTTGTCTTTGGCTGTGCAAGGTAACATGACCTTTTTTAGTTTCATCTTAATACATGTCCATTTTAATGTAAAAATACATATATATTACTTTTGTATTCTGACAAAAAAATAAAACTTTCTGTTTTGGGGGAAAATACAAATAACTTTTTAGAAGAGAGTATTTTGTCAGTCATACATGGCACTTTGGGTTCTGAAGAATATAACTTTTAGTTTTAAAGCTTCAGTGCCATTAATGGATATTATATTTGCTTTTCAGCTTGGGCAATGGTAGATGGTGGTTCAAATGTGAAAGCCCGCTCTTCCTACAATGAGAAGACCCCAAGGATCGTTGTGTCTCGTTCCCATTCAGGGATGGTCAGACAGGTCGCTCTTCAGACTTTTGGAAACCAGACTACAATTATCCCAGCTGGTGGTGCTGGTATGTTCCTCTTCCTGTGTGATCCCTGGAGAATGTTCCTGGCATGGTCAAGGCTGTGTTAGGAGACTGATTTGCTTGTCCATGCTTGGGAAGAAAGTGAGGAGGAATGGTGTACTTTTAAGGCAGGCTTGGTCTCCTGTTTGGTAACCTCGAGGGTGGGAGTTTCGTCACTCTGCCCTTCTTATTAGAAAGAAGCAGTCTCGGCCGGGCGCGGTGGCTCAAGCCTGTAATCCCAGCACTTTGGGAGGCCGAGACAGGTGGATCACGAGGTCAGGAGATCGAGACCATCCTGGCTAACGGTGAAACCCCGTCTCTACTAAAAAATACAAAAAACTAGCCGGGCGATGTGGCGGGCGCCTGTAGTCCCAGATACTCGGGAGGCTGAGGCAGGAGAATGGCGGGAACCCAGGAGGCGGAGCTTGCAGTGAGCTGAGATCTGGCCACTGCACTCCAGCCTGGGCAACAGAGTGAGACTCCGTCTCAAAAAAAAAAAAAAAAAAAAGAAGCAGTCTCACAACAGTGATTTCTCTTTCTTGAATCCTCCCATTAGATCTACCACTGATTGCTTTTTATGCAATCTGATTTCAAAATAATTGTCTTATCTGTGGGAATATCACAGAGGGGAAGAAAGATCAAGCACTTAAGATGCTTCATATGGCAGAAAGATGCCAGGAGTCATCGTAAGTATTATTAGAAAGGCTAATCCGTGAGTCACTAACACCCCTGAACTCTTTAACCTGCATGCCTGGGATGAGCAAGAGAGGCTAGTGCCCACCCACCTTACTGTATATTCTGTACTATTAGTCAGCCTAGTTTTTCGGAAAAGAAACCGATAATACAATTTCAAGCCTTGTGAGTCATATACAGTCTCTGTTGCATACTATTCTTTGATTTTCTTTAATGAACTTTTGAACATATTTTTAAAAAATTCTCATCTTAAGAGCCCTACAAGAACAGGCCATGACCTGGATTTAGCTTGAGGGGCTGTTTGTCAGCTCCTGTTATGGGTACTGTCTAACATGTCAGAAATGTTTTAATTCACGTTAATAGCAAATTATGGTCAGCAAACAAATGTGTTGGAAAATCTTCTCAGCACACATAAAGGGAGAAGTAATACTTCCTTTTTTTTTTTTTTTTTTGTCTTTTTTGAGATACGATCTCATTCTGTCTCCCAGGCTGGAGTGCAGTGGTGTAATCTAGGCTCACTGCAACCTCCGCCTCCTGGGCTCAAGTGATTTTTGTGCCTCAGCCTCCCAAGTAGCTGAGACTATAGGCATGCACCACCATGGCTGATTTTTTGTTATTTTTAGTAGAGGCGGGGTTTTGCCATATTGCCCAGGTTGGTCTTGAGCTCCTGAGCTCAGGCAGTCTGCCTGCTGTGGCCTCCCAAAGTGCTAGGATTACAGGTGTGAGCCACCACACCTGGCCAATACTTTTTAACTTTTAAGCCTAATAATTTTAATTTTCTTTTCTATATATCTGCCTTCTTTAATATGGCTTCATTATATTCTTAGAGGCTCTCTGTTAGGTTGGTTAGGAAAAATGTCCAGAATACCCAGTAGGGATGAGATAACTAGATTCTAGACCCAGTTTCTTCTACATTTTTTATTAATTTTAAAATTCTGCCTCATTACAAAAAGGCTTTAGAGTGGTAGTGTTACTGTTAGTTCTCTTTCACATGAGGCCTACTTAGACATTTAGGTAAAACTTGTGTGTTTAATATGTCATTCCATGGAAAATGGCACATACTGAATGTGTCATTCCATAGAAAATAACCACAATGTATGTTTAAAAATTTTAAATTATAGGTATATATTTAGTTACATTTGAGACTAGCTTAATAAGTTAGTTTGCAGGCCGAGTGCGGTGGCTCACACCTGTAATCCCAACACTTTGGGAAGCCAAGGCAGGCAGATCAGGAGGCCAGGAGTTCAAGACCGGCATGACCAACATGGAAAAACCCTATCTCTACTAAAAAATACAAAAAAAACTAGCAGGGCGTGGTGATGCTCACCTGTAATCCCAGCTACTCGGGAGGCTGAGGCAGGAGAATTGGTTGAACCCGGGAGGCAGAGGTTGCAGTGAGCCGAGATCACGCCATTGCACTCCAGCCTGGGCGACAGAGCGAGACTCTGTCTCAAAAAAAATAAAATAAAAAATAAGTTACTTTGCAATGTATTTTTGTTCTGAGTTTAGTGTTTATACTGTTACTTTAAAATTGTTTCAATTTGAAATACTTTTAAACTTAAGCAGTTGCAGAGACTGCAGCAAGCTCCTGCACACCCTGTCCTGTTATTTTAACAGTATACTTAATCAAAAAAGTATGCTACTTTCTTAAAATTTTTTGAATAATAACCTAAATTCTTTGTTTATCTTTTAGGTTATAAAGTTTTAGCACTTTTGGATGTGCCTGATAAGAGTCAAGAAAAAGCTGATTTATATATCCATGTGACATACATCAAAAAGTGGGATATATGTGCTGGTAATGCCATCTTAAAAGCCCTTGGGGGGCATATGACTACCCTGAGTGGTGAAGAAATCAGTTACACTGGTTCAGACGGCATTGAAGGGGGACTCCTTGCTAGCATCAGAATGAACCACCAGGCCCTGGTCAGAAAACTCCCAGATCTAGAAAAGACAGGACATAAATAAGCATAACTGATTACAGGGTACAGTTCTTCACAGCTGAAATGGTTAGCCTGAAATGCTGGAAGCTTCGAAGGATTGGTGGAGACTATGCATGGTTAAGGCCATCCTGAACTTTTTAAAGTATTTATGAAGCATCAGAGACTTATTTTCCCTGTAATAGGATGCAAGATCAGGGAAAATGGGTTGCTTTGTGTCTCAAGTATTGTCTTTATTTTTGAGACTATTTTCATACAGTTGTCATACACAAGGCGCATATATATATTTGTGAATTAAAATCTGTAGCTGAGTCTACATTGTTATGAGTCACCATTTTCACACAACATCATGAATCTTCACTGTTAGTACTTTCATATAGAATTCGGTTGAAGGAAAGATTGATTTTTGTGTAGATGTTTAATATAACTTTACAATTTTATCTCGTTGAAAATAAAGTCATTGGAGATTTTTACCTCTAATTTGGATGGAAAGCACAAGAAACCACACATTCATTAATATGCAACAAATGTTGTATTTATGTTACTGAATATTTCTATGGATTAAAATAGAAAAAGTTTAATTGATTTTTTCTTTGAAATTTTAATAACAGGTTCACCAGCTGGTAGAAAATAGAGGCACATGATGGTTTGCATTGTAATAATTTCTGTGTGTATGTGTGTGTGTTGTTTTGTTTTTATAAAGATATAAATGTGTTTGTACTCATGAGTTCAGCATTTCTGCTCTCTTGCTGTCTATTTTCATTTTCCCTACGGAAGATGCATGGTTGCATCCTTTTCCTTCTGACCAACACTTAGTCTTTAACTTTGTGAGGTTTGGTTTAAGGATGCAGGGTTAGCACTATAATTTTGGTTCATTTTCTCATAAGGATAAAATATGCTGTAAGGCACTATAAGAATATAAATGATTCTATTACAATTGAAAGTTACTTGACATTACATGAATTGAACTAGGTTTCATTATTTTCAGACTTTTAGTATTGTTTTTTTAATTTGCCAGGTTTGTATATAGAAGATTCTCTCATTATCAAGAATGAGTATGGTTGCTTTTGCCATGGTTGCTTTTACTATTAATAAATGTATCTAGCCTAACCAAACTGAAAGTGTAGTAACTTTTGAGATTCTCTTAACTTCCCTTCAGATTAAAATAGAGAAGTTTGAAGGTACTTTTTGATGAAATTTTTTTCTATTCAGTCTGGTTAGAAAAAAAAGTTGTGACATATTCATTGTGTTACCGTAACTAGAACCTTGCTTTGTGAACTATCTTTCATTGGTTTGTGTGGTTTCTCTCAATGTGATATCTGGAAACTTCATGTAAACTATCCATGCCATTATTTCATGTGACTCCAGTGCCCTTGTATTTCATAACATACTGATAAGGAGAGAGATTTCTCATGGTTTCTTTCTTTGCTAAATTTTTTAACCATAATGCAACTTTCCCTTTATTTTCTTATCTTGGAAGTAAAATTGACCAAAGAATGTACTTTCTAGCCTGGTGGAATGTGCATACTTTAGGTTTGTATGTTACATTGTCCAAAGCCCTTTACTTTCTTATTAGTAAACTGAGTCTAATATGACACAAATGTTTTCACCCAATCTCTTACAACTGGCCAAATTCAAGAAGGTGGTGGGCCTCATTAGTGCGCCTTTTCAGTGAAAATTCAAAGTTTTGGTAGTTGGAACACTTGATATTTAAATAGGACTTGAGAATTTTGAAAAGAGTCAGACCTCATCTTTTTTACTTTGCAATAAGCTGAAGAAACTTTCTTTTTCAGGAGAAATGGCAAGATGGCAAAGGTATATGCTGTTGCCAGAATCCTGTGGTATAAGCATCTGTTTTTATTGTAGTATATCAAAGTTAGGGAAATGGGACTGGCAAGTAAAAAGTGGAATTTAATTTCAATGTTATATGGGAACTCTGATTTAATTGGAAGCAAACTAGTTCAAATTAGCAGGAATTATTTTATTTTATTTTTTCGAGATGGAGTTTCGCTCTTGTTGGCCAGGCTGGAGTGCAATG